TGCTTTTTCAGGTGGCCACACACGGCACCCAGAGTGTGTCACAGGTACAGCCTGTGGAAGTGTTCATGAACCACAAACTGCTGCCCTCATCCATCCTGGAGTGCACAGGCTGAGCTTGTCACCTCTGTGTGTGTGCCTGTTCCAGCTGTCACCTCTCTGTGTGTGCCTGTTCCAGCTGTCACCTTTCCATTCCCAGTTTGTCACCTCTCCATTCCCAGTTTGTCACCCCTCTCGGTGCCCTTGCAGCCCGCAGGGAAGGAGCCAGCTGTCCGAGGAGCAGCGCCGGTGTTCGCCCAGGAAAGGCTCCCCGGGCCCGCAGGGGGAGCCGTGCTCGCTGCGCCAGCTCGGGGCGCTGCGGGGCTCGGGCCAGATGTGTCCGAGCTGCGAGCTGCAGCTGTGCCGGCCCTGCGGGACCCTGCACTCGCAGCGCGGCTTCATCGCGCACAGCCTGCTCGATCACTACGATCCCCCGCCCTGCTGAGCTCTGCTGCGGGGATGGAGGCGCCGGGAGCCTCCGGAGCCCGAGCGCAGCCCAAAGCCGAGGCCGGGATCCAGCGGGAGGAGGATCCCGGCTCCAGCCACCGCAGCTCAGTCCGCTCCTTTAACCAGCAGAAACCCGGCAAACAGAGCTGTAACCCAAACATTTCTCAGCTGTTAAGGACAGGGAATTGCTTCAGAAATATTCTCCAGAGCTTTCCTTTTCCTCTCAAGGAAACAAAGATTATCCCATCGAGCTGCAAAGCGGGTGTGATTGTTACACGCAGAGCCACTTGCAGTGCCTTTGTTCGCTTCAGTGTTGCTTGTGGTCTGGAATATTAAACGTTTTATTTTTAAATTAACTACCTCGGAGATGCACCTTTATGGGGGAAAGGGGCTTCTAAAAGCTGTCCTGGCAACAAGGATTGCTGCTCACATCCCAATTCCCTCCAAGAATTTCCAAATTTTCAGAGGCGTTAACATCTCACTTGTCATCCTGCACCTTGCCTTAAAATGAGCAACAACAATCGCAACTCGTGAAGTATTTAAGGCTACTTTGAGTTCTTAAACTGCATTTTTAAACAGTTCTTCCAACAGCTCCAGCCATCAGGCCAAGGCTCTGGGGCAGGGGTGGGCGGCATTAAGGTCCAGGTATAAATAAAACTTTAGCACAGTGGAATCCCTAAGTACAGGTGAAAGGTGGAAGGAGCCTCAGACACAGATGATTCCAAGTCAGGCAGCAAACACCTTTTCCTGCCATGCCAATGGGCACAAATCTATGTGCAGGATTAATTCTTTGCTAGGGAACAGGCTAAACAGACACAGTCACCCACAGCCATTCATATTAAGGGTACTTTCATTTAGCCAAGCAGAAGAACACAGGCTGGGATGTTTGGACCTTTGTTTCATCTCTCCTTTTCCTAAATTCAAAAGTAACAAGTCCATAGGGAAAAGGACTCTCTGTCCTTCCCACTCCTCTTTTGGAGCTGTTCAATTTTTGTTCAAATGAATGTCTGGTAAGGTGGCTGGAATCCAGATTTTTTCCTATCCCTAGGGAATACTTGGGCTGAGCCATGACATCTATTCTCATGTTTTGTTTCCACCCTCCCAGGAAAAGCATTTCAACAGGAGGAATTCAGAGCCACATATACAACATTGCTGTGCTCCAGAGTATCTTGAACAATAGTGCTCAGCTCTATTGTGGAATATCAGACACCCAACGCTCCTCATGCAAGAGGCACAGAGACCATTTCAGAAACCAGACTGAGCTGCTGAAAGCTCCCAGGGCAAAGCCCATCAGGAATTTCACATAGGAGAAAGCCTTAGGCAGGATTCACACACTGGAACGAACCAGGTTCCTCCCTTCTGCCCACACTTCACTGGTTCTGCACACTGCCAGCAAGTGCCCAGGCTTCCTCCCCAAATGCAGCCAAAAATGAGATCTTATGAGCACCCTCGTGCTGCAAGGGCCTTAATCCCTCCAAAACCACATTTCCACGGTGCTTGATTGTCACTTCTGTTCATTTCTAAAAGCCAATCCCTCCAAAACCACATTTCCACAGTGCTTGATTGTCACTTCTGTTCACTTCTAAAAGCCAATCCCTCCAAAACCACATTTCCACAGTGCTTGATTGTCACTTCTGTTCACTTCTAAAAGCCAATCCCTCCAAAACCACATTTCCATGGTGCTTTATTGTCACTTCTGTTCATTTCTAAAAGCCAACCTGGTCCTGACAAACCATAATTAACCTTTCACATTTCTCTGCTATTCCTAAACTGGGACCCTTCACAGCTTTCCCAAGAGAAAGCCATACCACTGCTTGAAGAAATATAAATTCAACCCCATCCTCTTCATCAAGCAATCCAGAGGAGACTTCTCCAGACCATCACCTGAGGAAGAGCAGGGTGACAGACTGAAAGGATGAAGGACTAGCTCATCACAACAGCATTATTTTAAATTCTACAGTCCCATACTGTGAAATCAGCTCAAATAGGTCACACAAGGAAAGTTCTCTCAGCACCTGCCTGGGAGGATTTCCTGTGTGGCTTGCTGAAGGACACAAGCAGCTCCTCGTGGTTGTTTTTGGGCTGGAAAGGCAGCCAGGTCAGCAGCAGAGCGCAGAGCCAGCTGACTGAGGAGAGCAGCTCTCCCTTGTCCCCGCTGGATGCTGCTGGGCTGTCTGCAGGAGAGCTGGCAGCTCGGGCAGGGTGGATCAGAGTTCCTGAGCACCTCCAGTGAGGCCCAACAGCAGCAGGGCACTGGCCCCTCATAGGGCAGCACCTACTCACCCTTGTGCACCACAACAGCTCTGCTCCTTCAGCTCTTGCCAGACAAGGAATTTTTAAAATTATTATATCTTTGCAGAGGATTTCAGGCTTAGATTTTAAAGCTCAGACACATAATTGTGATGTCTGACTCAGACACATAATTACATTAATACACTGTATTGTGAAAGAGTAATAATAGAAATACTGATTACACATTTAAAAGATTTAGGCTTGAAACCATCCTACAGAATAAAGCCTGACATATCAATTATTAAGGGCCTCTACTATTTAATTATCTGATTTCAATAGCTCTGGGAGTTTAAAGAGGAATATTGGACTCTTTTATACTAAACACAGGAATGGGCTCTGTCCAAAGCATTTGCTGGAATGTGACTTGACAACCAACAACACCCCACTGCCAAAACATCCAACACAAGCGTGAGAGGGAAAGGAAGCAGCTCCACAGCTAAGGGGCAAATCCCTGGGAGCTCATTCCCTGGAAATCCAACACAGGACAGGCAGGAGTGTAAAAGCAGCACCGTTTGTCACAAAAGAAATGATTCAAGGTAGAACGCAAACCCATCAAGCAATCAGTAATAAACCAGAATAAATAAAGATCATTTATACACTGCATATACCAAATTTCAGATGTGATTTTTGAAACAGCCCAGGCAGCTTTCCCCTCTACCAGATACAATGAAAGCCTTGAGAGGGAAAAGTCATTTTTCCAGTGGACATATACAAAGAAAGATAACATGACACCATGTGAACTGAACGTTCAACACAAAATCCTTGAATTCTCTTATTATAATCTATTTGATGACTTCTGAATTCAGAAACTGGTCTAAAATACATCCCAAATCAGTCCAAATTAACTTACCAATTTAGTATTAGAGCTGGATATTGGGAAGAAAGTACAAAAACAATCAATGGACTGATGTACCAAAATCAGAGAGAACCAAGTGTTCTCTTGAATGACAAACAGCAGAGGACACTCCTTCGACTTTTCACAAGGCACTTAATTAATTTATTTATTTGTTTGTTTTCTGAATGAAAGTCTGTATGCCACAGGCTGTACGTAGCAAGTATAACGAGGAAAGTGGTGATCTATTTACTAACACAATTCAGCAAACCAGGACTCTGCTCAAAACTTAACATGAAGATATATCACCAAATCAGCTTTGGTGACCTGGTAAATGCTGCTTGCTGCCAGGTTCAGCTCGGAGAGGTCAGCCTGGGAAGCATTCCTGTGAAATGGGATCTCTTCTCAGCTATTAAGATCAATTCACAGGAGGAAAATGCTTCATTGTCTTTGCTGCCATTCATGTTAATTAATTGCCAAGAATAAACATAGAGAAGGTAAAGACAACCAAACACACCACAGCCATTGAAGGGCTATTAACCAACACAAGCAGTGAGCAGAAGTAGCATTTCCTAATCACCTCTAAATATTCCTCAGGGAACAGAGGCAATGGGATTTTCTCACCATCTCAAGTACTTTTATAACCTGCATTAAAGTCGCATCCAAAATCCCCTGAACCACCCAAAAGCTCTTTGCTGAGTGCAGCAGCCTCGGTGGTGCTGGAAGCAGGGAAGGTGTTCCTGTGCCCCACCAGAGGGGAGAGCCTTGCAGCACCTGCTCGAGTTCCACACGAGGCCTGGGGTGGGACACGGACCCAGCTGCCCTCTGAGCGAGGGAAATAAGGGAAATGGAGATGCCACAGGGCTCCCTCCTGCCAGAGCCCACAGCAGCCCCAGGCAGCCAAGGGGCAGCTTCATCTCAGAGTCCTGCAACAGCCCAGCTCTCCCTCAACAAGAGCAGAGATGCCCAAGTGCTCTGTCTCACAGAAAAACAGAGCATTGACAGGAGCGGTTCCTTATGCAAATTCACATGCTGTGAATTACCTAAGGATGAGATTGCTTTTGTCAGAGCTGTCACCTGCAGCAGAGTTTACCTGGAACTTGCCTGCCATCTGCTATAGAAATAATAATGAAAATAAAAAAAGGACATGGCACACTTTAAATGCTAAGGTATTGTATATAAAAAAAAAAACAAAAACCCAAGCCTAAACTCAACAAAAGCAACCCACGTACCACTTGTTACCTGTAGAATATTCTAGAAGCAGAAGCCTTTTCAGACGGAAAAGCCCACAGGGTGAGGACAAGAAAATCAACACCCTACACAGAGCACCACCCTGACTCCAGGTAAGTTCCTAACCTCTAAAATAAACAAGGAAACCCCAAACCAACAAAAATAAAACTCTCAACAAAGTAAAACCAACTTTAATTAAATTCCTACATCATCCAACATTTCTATGCAGAACAAGTGTTTAGTCAAAAAGTAAATATATATGTTTAATTCTCTTCCAAATGTCCACAAGAATCAAGAGTTACCAGTGTTCCTCAGAGAACAAGCAGTAGTTAAACCTCTCTTTGTTGATGTTCAGGAACAGTTTGTCACATCTTTTAACCAGCAGTTCCCTATTGCACATAACGAATTTGCTCTCCATTTCAGCACCTAAAAGCCTGGTACCTCACTAAATAAATTAAAACAAATCCAGTTTCTTCAGCAACCATCTTCAACATATATATCTTGGTAAAGCAACATGACTGCAAGCTTTTAATAAATACAGAGAGATCAGTGACTGCATTGGTGTTCTGTGGAATGACCTTTGCCCATAAACTCTTGCTTCTCCAACCAGCTGGGGTTTTTGGTATGTATGCTCTAAAAAATCACTTTGTGTAGTATATTTAATGAAAACATCCCTTACACAGGTCAGTGCATTTTGCAGGGAAGGACTGATCTGAGACAGGAACTTCAGTGTAAGGCTGGAAGGAGCTTCTTGCAGGAACCAAACCAAATTGTGCCTCTCTGGGAGCTGAAGGTAAAGCCCCAGAGGCTGAGTGGGAGAGTGTAATCGGTGAGGGAGTCTCAGGCACGTTTGGAATTGGCCTAACCTTCCTCATTCTGAAGGGTTTCTTTTGTGTGCTAAGTCAGAGGAACAAAATTGTGCAACCTGAACATCTGGATGCTGCATCACATCTGCACATCTGCACACAGACAAGGAGGTCTCCCCCACCCTTCCTTGGGCAGCAGCACAGACATGAAGCAGCTCCCTGCAGTACAGTGATACCATGGCTGCTATTTACAGTAAAATTAATGCATCTGTGCCAGCAGGGCAGAGGTCATAAGAAAAATATACACAATATGCTCATCTTTTAGCCAGATTAGGAGATATATATATATAAAAAAAATTTACTCTTCAAGTCCTAACTTTAAACAAAGAACAGTTCTGTCAGAGGTCTTCAAACCTCCTGAGGATATGTTAGAGCACATTACCCTAATGTATAAAAACAAATATTTACACCTCCATAAAGTACCAAAGAATTTTTAAAAATGCCTAGTAGCTGTCAGCGTGCAAAGTCAGCAGGAACTGATTATCCAGGATGTTCACTAACTGTAGAGACAGTCTTGGAATCAAGCATTCAGAAGCAGAGTGCAAAAGACATGGGAGTTATTTCAGTCTGTTTGTTTTCACTGTCGCGTGACAGTGTTTCTTGTTTTGGATCAGTTCATAGAATCACAGAATGTGCTGAGTTGGAAGGAACCCATCAGGATCAGAGTCCAACTGCTAGCCCTGTGTGGGGCTGCCCAAGAACCACCCTGTGCCTGAGAGCGTTGTCCCAGCGCTTCCTGAAGTTTTGTTGGTCCGTATGAAACTCTTTACAAACACTGATCAAGGTAACCTTCAGCTTAGTGCAAATGCCACAATCTCCTAGGACCTGTAATCTTTTCTGACAGTGTGAGCCATCCAGTTCACTTTAGTAGTCCAACTTTCCCGCAGAGCTTCATCAAACTTTTGCTTGAACTGTTTTAGTGCTTCTTCCTCACTCTTCCCTAGGGCAAGGGAGTCCTAAAGCAACAGAGAAACAAGGACTGTTAGGAACTTTAAAAAGCACAGTTAAAGCCTCCTTCACCTTTCAACACAAGTCATGGTGTGTTTTGCTCTCCTTTGATGCTTTTTTGCTTACTACTCATTGAGCAATGCATCAGTTGGGTTAAATCATGCATCTTCCTGGCTTTAAAGATAAAACTGGAAGAGAATGAAGCAAATCATTTTCACCTTTCCATGTCTATGCTTGTGCATGAGCCAGGATGTAAAATGCCCCTGAGGTGACTCCATTTAAGATGCATGGATCCTGAACTCATCCTTTGAGTACCAAGACTGACTACAGACCTTGTTCTATGGAGCTTTGAGAATTGTGGGGAAATCTTGACAGAAACGGAAAACAACTAAAATGTATTAATCTTGGAATCAAAAATTCACATTCTGGAAAATTGCTGAGTCCTGCTGAGCTGTAGCTCCTACTTTACCTTGAGATACTGGATGTCCTTGACAGAGGTGAGCTCTGGCAGCCCTGCAGTCAGCATCAGTGCAAAGAGGGTAATAAATAGGTTGCCGTGCTTGCGCAGGATCAGGTAGGCTTCCTCACAGTACTGCCGGAACCTGCGGGAGCCAGGCAGTGCAGGGAGCACAACAGGGACAGTTACACACATGGAAATGGCTGCAACCAGAATCTGTTACCTGCTCTGACAAATGCACACTGTGGAATGCTGCACGGAGGGCAGGAGCCTGCAGAACCCCCAGTGTGCTCTCACAAACACAGCCCATGTCTCCCCAGCGAGCCCTCAGTATGAAACACCACCAGCTGCTCTTCAGAAAGAACAAAAGTGCCAGAGGTCACAGTCCCACTTTCCCTGAGAATTTGTCAGGTAAAATGCCCTGATGATCCTATAGGGTGAGATACAGTGGAAAAGCTAAAGCTCTGTTGCAGCCCCTCTAATATCTGTCATTTCTAATTCCTTCCATGGTCAAAACTGAACCAGCTGCCAGGGCTGGCAGATCATGAGCACCTGGCTCCTCATGGCCAAGCATCCAAGCAAGGCCAGCGTGGCCTTGTGAGGGCAGCACAATGAACATGCCCTGATGGACAGGAGGGAACCTGTTCCTAAGGGCAGTCCTCATCTTGCTTGAACAAGAGAGCCCAGAGCTGCTGCAGGCAGAGCTGAACCCGGCAGAACCTGCCACCTCCTGCTGTGGGAGACAGAAGCAACTGCAGAGCTGCCGCTTCTGGTTCTGAAGTAATCTGTGACATCCCAGCTCAGGGAGAGCAGCAGACAGCCCTGTAAATGTGTGATGGCACACTTCCACACAAGTGCAAATGAACAAACCAACCCCAGGTATGTTGTGGTATGCTGGAAATTATCATCTCAATTACAAATAGATCAAAGTAACACTCACCGGCCAAATTTTTCAGTGTTCCCTGTTTTTCCTTGTTGAATAACATGAATGAAATCATAGGTGAGTATGAAAGGTACCCGTTCCCTTTTAATTCCAAACTTGGACTTAAAGTTTCCAAGAATATGCCCAAAATCTATGTGAAACAGCTAAAAAAAAAACAACAAAAAAACAAGTGAAAAATAATTTCTCCAGCAAAAACTGTCACTTTTCTAATATCTCTACAGGATGATGATATCAAGAACAGTTAACTCCTAATATGACTCTTCAAAACTCTTTGGGAGTATTTGGTTCTAAAACACTTCAAGATTTAAAATAACATCCATGCACTTCTGAATGACCACTGCAGCAAAAGATTCACTCAGGTTTAAGGTGCTGCTGCCACAAGACATCTTGGTGGCAGTACCAGACAAAAATGAGCCCAAGGATGAGCCCACAAGGCTCAACATCATCACATCCAAGGCCTTCCCACACAAGGACAGAGGCAGACGTAGCAGAGCTGGGTTAATCTGAAGGACCCTGTGGTAGTTCCCTGTGTTAGAATCAAGGATAAGGACACTCCAGATTTCTTCCAGGAGTTACAACCTTAAGAGAATGCTGCAAATGTCTGTAAAACTCTCAATTTTATAACCCTTGCTGGTTTTCTAGGCAGAATAAGTTCAATTTAATCAGACAAGTTACATTACAGAATAACAATTAAGAAAACACATGTCTAGGAGCTCCCCCAGGTTCTGAGTGCACAACATTGTGCTGGGGCTGAGTTCCACTCTGAGCATTTCTGCAGGGCTGAGCTGCACAGACTCACTCCAGAGCCACACTGCTCCAAAATGGAATTAATGGATTTTTAAGGACGGTCTTTTGCAAGATACCCTTAGACCACTTTTATTCAGTGAATATGAACCATTAGAAGGCCTCCTGGATGTTCTGTAGAAGCTCTGCAGAACAGCCTCTGTCCATACAGAACTGCTGATGGACCAGGATTTGCTCTTTGCATCACATTTCCTTTCCTTGAACCTCTCTCCAAGCCTCAGTGAACCACAGACATCAGTTCTAACCATGTGTGGCTTTCCTTTCACCAAGGCACTAAAGACATTACATGTTCTCAAGAGAACTCTTGTATAGCAAAGACACCAAAGGCATTCTGCCTACAGAAGGGATTTTTACCTGCCCATTTTTCCTGACCATGATATTGTCGCTGTGTCTGTCACCAATTCCCAGCACATACGTAGCTACACAGTAGCCAGCACAGGACAGAGTAAATTCTTCAATGGCTCGATCCAAGTCCTCTCTGCAACCACAGAGAAAATTGTAATAGTGCATCAGTATTGGTGTATTAGTATTGGAATTCATACCTTGGCCTCAAAAAGGATTTTTGCTTGTTTAAACCAGAAGTCCATCAGGATGTTGTAAAACCAGAAATACTTGAGAAACACCCTGCAAAGGTAGCTATGGAGAACAAGCAATATGGAAGGCAACATCAAGGCATGAGACACATGTAGTATTCTTGGGTTTGCTTGTGCTGCCAAATTGAATATAACTTACTCAACAGCACACAGCCAAAATGCTGCAAACACCAGGCCCAAGGGTAACATGAATCTCAGGCAGAATTTGACATGCTAGAAAAACAATTAGCAAGAAACTACGCCTTCCTCAACACTGAAAGAGAAATTTCAGAGGAATTTTGTAGCTTATACTGTAGCTGAGAGAATAACTGTAGAAATTACCCTAAATTGTATTCCTTCAGCCAGTTCAAGAGCGCATCCTTGTTGAAGGCAGCAGCTGCAGCAACGTTGCTGCTGTTTAACTGAATGTCAGCAATGGTTTCTGAACTAGAAACAGCCTCAATGAGGCCAGAGTGATCTCCAGTTGCTAAACAGCCATAGGGCAATATCCTGCAACGAAACACAGAATCATGTCAGAACCTCAAACAGCAAAATGTTTCTTTAGTGTTTACTCAGTTTTTGGAGATATGGCTGAATACTCACTTGAACAGTAACATCTCAAAGGTTAACACACAGGAATTTTTTCTAAAGGTGAAAAACCAGCAATACATTTAAAACATCCATTTAAAACATCCGTTTTTCCTATTCTGTACATAGATGTAAAAGAGAGACATTTTTAAAAACCTAACTTTTCCTTTTTACTAGAACCCAGTTTCTTGTAATTTCCCAGGACAAGCCACAGAGGGAGCCCTGTGCCTGCATTTGTGAATTCCTGCCTGCACAGACCCTGACCCACTCCAGTTCATTCCCCATAAATTATTGCTGGAAATGCAAAAGAGGATCTTATCCTTTTCCACCTTCTTCCTACGTCAAAGGAAAATGCTAGAAATCCTTCTAAATATTAACATAAAGAATGTTTTCCAGCTCTTACTAAACTGAAGCATAGAAACCCAATGGAACACAGGAATACATCTCTTAACTGGCTTGGTGTCTCAGAACACAGCTGTGTATTCACACACCAGTGAAAATACCTCTTACCATGTCACTGCATTGCAGTGAGACACAGTTAAAGACGGAAATCAAAGAGAGATGTGTACAAATAGGTAAGTGTATTCTTTTCCAGTACATTTCCTCCCTCCAGATACTTAAAAAGCTGATCAGAATGGCAATGCCCCATGAGATGGGAGCTCAGCATGTGCAATGGAAACTTACAGCAAACTTTTCAAAGGCAATGCATCACAAATTGAGGTGTCTGCTCTTATGCCAGGCAGCTCAGGCCAAGAATATTATCTCAATTGTGGTCATGGTCCTTGGGTAAGAGAATGGATACCAACAAAAATCTACACTGCAGCACACAAGGTTTACATCAGCACTCACTGACTTACAGAGCTGTATAAAACAATTGCAGGACATTAAAATGGATGTGTGTGCCTTCAGACATACATACATACATAGATACACATATAAAGGAGGAATACTGCTGGTGAAGCTGTCTTTAGTATTGATATATAAAACTATATATATATATATATATATATACACATTTTAATGTAAGATATTAAGTTTAATATATTAAGTTTAATATAAGATATTAAGTTTGATTGCTAGAAACCATAACCACATCTCTTAACTGACACAGACTATTATGCCAAGCCATGGAAGAAATAAAATCCCGTACAAAATTACAGACAACTTTTTTGCCTGACAGCTATCAGGGAACTGAGCAGTTTCTCCACCAAAGGGATAACACAACTGAAGTGGTGCAAGTAGTGATGCCTTGGGGTGGCCCCCCAGAGCAGGGGCTGGGAGTTAAGCAGAGTTAAGAGAATACAGTGGGTGTTTATTGAAGGCCTTCAACAGGCACACCTTGGGCAGTCAGAAACCTCCCAGAGGCTGCACCCAAGCTGGAAGATGGTCACAAGTTTCTCAGACAATTACAAGTTTGGTCCATTTCCATCTCAGGGGTTAATGCTCCAATTACAGCTGCAGCTAATGAAGTCATTTACCCTCAGTTTGTTCCCCCAATTCACTTTTGTTTATTCTTTCAGGGCCTGAGGCTGTGGGGTGTCCTTGGCTCTCAGGCCTGGAAGGGTTGTTCTGCCTGACCAAAGTGTGAAGAGAGCTCACTAACACTGTGTGTGGAGCTCAGAGTTATGCACTAATGCACTACAGGATCTGAAAAACAGAAAAGCTGAAATCCTAAGGCATCAGAAGCAGTAACAATATAGGCTGGGGTTCTTCCCTACTGGCAACAAAGTGCACTGAAAACCAGATTCAACAGGGTATTTCAAGAGCACTCAACTTCAAAACAGCAGCAGAAGTGCAGGATCACAACGTTCCTCCCGCTTCTGTGCTGAGCCCTGCCCAGCTCCAGCCCTCTCCAGGAGCAGGAGGGTGGCTGGGGTTGCCCCTGGGCACAGGGAAGCTCTGCCCATGCTTATCACCACCCCACAAATGGGAGCCAAAGCTGGCCAGGTTAAAGTGCACGCTGGCCTCCTTCCACGGCGCTGCAGCCCAGCCTGCTCGCGGCTGAGCCGGGCACACAGCCAACATCTTCCTCTTCAAAAGCAAGCCATGATGAAAGCCTCCAGCCCCTGGAGGGCTCTGTGCTTACAACTGCAGGAAAAAACATCCTTGTCAGAGAGACAGTTTGACAGGAGTCAAGTTAGGGACAAATCCTCTGGGCCCTTTCCATCTCATCCTGGTCTTTCTGACTTCAGCATCTGTCAGCAGGATATGCTCCCTGCTTTTTAAAGCCTGCAAAAACCATGGACAGATCAATACTGAAATCCTGGGTAGGACAGAAAATTCTCTTCACTCCTTTAAAACTGTTCTTTATTTCAAGTGTTTAAATCACCAAAGCAGTGCCCTTCCAAACACACAAAATACTGGTGATTTATCAACACATTCTCTGTAACTTCAGGTCCAATAGTTTAAAAATGTTGACATGTTTATGAGTAGTAACAAATACATTTTTCAGTATCTGTGTGAACTCTGATTTCACTCATATACAGCCATTAACCTCAGATCTCACACACATAAGGGAGATGAAAATGAAAACCTACTATAGACAGGCACTGAAACAAAAAAGTGTTTTGGAGAATGTCCTGCATCTGGTCAAAAATTAACCAAGTATTAAATACTTTTATGACAATTTACCACAGCAAAAGTGACCTGGCATAGATCAAACTCCTCAAATTCATGATTTTCTGTTGCTGTTATTTTACTCATTTCTCCATTAACACAACTTTGATGCTATAACAGAGGCAAAGCAGCCCAAACACTTTCTGACACAAGGATTTTCCTGAGAGGTGCAGCACCACAGATCCCACAGCATTCTTGGGAATACAGATGTTGTGCTCCTCTGCTGTGATGTGTATTTGTAATAGGCCACCTATTTCCTGCTCAGTGCTCAAGTACGAGTTTGTCTTCAAAATTAAGGTGTGGGGATTAACTAAAAAATATACTTTTTGCTTTGTTCATTTCTCTCTGCTACTTGGATGATGTTTGAGGTGAACTGACCCTTAGAGGCAGACTCCTCTAAGTGTCAGTGTTTGTCTGGGTGCTGGTCCTGTTCTGGGGAGCAGATCCATCCCACACCCCAGGAGAACTCAGCATGAAGGACCTACAGGAGCACATGGTGCCATCCTCCTGCACACAGGTGTCCCCTCTGATACACCCCTGCCCTGTTTGTCACCCACAAAACAAATTAGTTGGCAATTAAACAAACAAAAGATTTCTCCTCCTTCAGCTCCCAAAATCAATCTCTATTTGGTGTTCCTCTCTAGAGCTGAGAAATCCCACTGGGAATATCATGCTTGCTTTAGACACAGACTGAGCTAAGGTTTCATTTTCAATCACTGCTAGAGAACTGAGTGTGGATTGCAGCTCAATTAGAAGGCAACTGATCCTGTCCCCAGCTCAGTGGTGCAATGGCTGCATTTGATCCATGCCTCATGGAAGATGGACAATCTGCTCATGGCAAAACATGACAGATGTGGGAGGAGAGGCAGCAGCAAGAGCTGCTCTGACACTGCTGGCACAAGTGACAAGCCCTGCTTTCACTTGGATGGAGTTACTAGACTCTCTGCAGTGGAAAAAAGTTGAAAAGTGCAAAATCCATTGTGCATCCAGGAATGGAAATAATTTAAGGGAAACTAAGGATGATGCAGGGCAAGAAGCAAAGACTGCACTCATTGGTATGGGCACAGGACAGTATTTTTCAGGAAAGCAGCCCTTTGGTACTACTTTTTCAGCTGAGACTACGCCTCTACCCCAGGCAAAAACTAACCACTGAGTCCTGACTCATGAACATGGCAAAGAACTCACTCCACCATTGCTGGCTCACAGATTCTGGAGCTGTCTCTTCTTGAGAGATGCAGGCTATGAACACTGAGATGCCAAAGTCTCACCCTTGTGGCTGTGCCCTCATGCTCTGGGTGTTCAGAGTGCTATTTTGTCCAATTCTGCTCCCAAGGAAGGTCATTTCAGAGCCTTCTCCTGGCAAGTGCCTGATTGATCTCTTTGACAGACACTAAACTGTAACCCTGCCTCAATTGCAGGATTTTATTTCATAATGGCAACTATGACAGAATGAATGGAAGGAAGATGCTCCCAGTTAAGCAAACAAATTGCAGAGGCCAAATATAGAACTTCAATTCTCACGAGGAACTTCCCCTTTCTACTTTTTTTTCTTTGCTGAGTTTTAAGAAAAATCTTGGACATCAGAGCTACTTTTTGGTTTTCCTTTGTTGCTTTTAAAAAAAATGCCTTAGTCAGGAAAAGCATATTTGATGACTCTAATCACTATTCCTGTTTGCTAGGCACAGTGTGTGGCCCAGGCTGGAACCACAAACAACTTATGGGAAGGCAGCTACTGAGGAATGCCTCAGCTGGGATTCCACAGCTGCCAGAGGCTGTCCTTGCCCCCAAATGCTGGATCAGCCTCCTCACAGTCAATTTATAATGACATAAATAGCCTAAGGTTTCTTCAAGTCAGTGTTCAACTTCACACACACTCAACCATCTCATTACAAATGTACCTTTCCAGAAACAATTTGTAATTCACATTCCCACCTTTCCTTAAGCATTCTAACTGACAAGTTGATAGTTTTACTCACCTGTGCTGATATTATGTGTCTTATGTAGCTCCCACTACTATACTTGAACCATAAAAAAATTTGAAAATAGCTCCAAGAATCTAAATGAAGTATTTCAGGCAATACTTAAATATAAATACTTCTAGATTCATAAACAACACTTAAACACAGAGGATTACAGCTCTTGCACAAGCATTCAAAATTTAAATTATGGCTAAAACCAGTTTCTAATAATGTGACACCCAGTACTTCCATTAGGACTACTTCCCTAAGCTGAAACCTGAATTTGTGAATTATATTACCTAAAACTGGTTCATAAATTTGGGTGGAAAAGTTTCCCATACACTAGAGGTTTGTGTGATAACACTGAGCAATGACTGACACTGTTGCTCTTAGGAACACTCCAGTATTTGTTCAAAGAAGTCATGTTTACCTTATCAAGCATATGAAAATAAGAAAGCTGCTTTGCAAGAAACTTTGGAAGATGCAAAGGTATTTCTGGTTGGAAAAACACATTCTGGCATCCAAACAGTGTTTTGCCAACAAGAGAAAGTGACTTCAGAGTTGCAGGTGTTCCCAGTGCTGGTGTGAGCAGCAATGAGAGCTCTGCTCACAGCTGGAAGGAGAGGAGGTAACGCTTCCCACAGCCTGCTTGCCCTGGCTGTGACAACTGAAACCTCTGGGCACCCAGACAGATGTGTAGAAAGGGGACAGTGGGGAAGGTGCTAAAAACAGGAAAACTTTATTTCTAAAAGTAGACTCTCCATCCAAACAAACCAGCCCTGGGGAGATCCTTACCGGAGATCCAGGCCAGCCTCTTTCCACAGAATGTCCATCAAGCGCAGAATCTGGAGCGTCAACATGTCCTGCCGGAGATCTGCAATGAAAGGTGACACCACTGCTTCCATTCCTCACACACTTCCTCTAGCTTCCAAGGCCTTCAGAAAAGGTGATCTAAAAATACTCACCCAGCCTAAGGGTTAAAGTGGTATTAATCATAATTACATTGTCCTGACTGGCAGTGTCTGTGCTTTAAAACTCAAACAGAAGATGCTTAATTTGCTTACTGATGTCAGAGAAACCCATGTTTACATTACGACAAAACAGAATAATACAGCTCAAGCACAAACATGCCAATGAAGAAAGAAAAGGAAAAATTGAAAGTTTCTAGCATTGCTTACCATCACCATTCTTAAAGATGATCCCTACAAGATCTCCTCCAAACATTTTGTTGTTGTACACTATCCAGAGCGGCTTCATTTTAGAATCCATGTATCTACACTTCTCAACACTAGAAGAAAACATGCCAGAAGTTTTAGTCAAATAGAAATAATTCACCTGAAAAGATCTAAACATGGTTCAGAACATAAGAGAATATTTAGACTTCCAGTCTGGAAGTACTTAAATGTTCTCTCTGCTTTCTGCTGCTATGCCACGAGCATTCACCAAGCTATGAACACATTTGTTGCATGTGGAATGTATTTGATACAGACTGGTGAAACTATCTCTACTGCTTAAATCAATCACCCTCATCTTCAGAGAAAATTGTTTTCTTTATATCATTTCCCATCAATTTTTAGACAATTTCAAGTGCTGTGAAAAGTTTCAGTGGCCTTTGTGCTTACTGTTAAAAACAGAAGCCAGGAATGCAGTCGAATTTACTTTTAGGCTTACATTTAAATATGTTTAGCCATGGCAATGCATTGACTAAGACAGTTTCATAATGGATCACAAAAATCTTCTAATTTAACTGCTATCTTAACCTCAGAAGATGACCAGCAGACCCCCTGTCACTATAGGAGAAGTTCCCTGTGGCACTACATGCTGAATAATGCAGCCAGAGGAAGTTCAGACACCAATGTGCTCCTGCTTTACTGTTTCCATGCAAAGTTCCAGTGAAATTGTGCTCATTCTTTACTTACTGCAGCTCTGAGAGTATAACAGAAGGATTCAGAGGAGACTGGAGGTCAGAAAGTGCTTCTCTGTAAGCATTTTGTTTCAAACACGTATGCATTGCATCTTTGCCTTTTGCTTTGCTTTGCTTCATGGCATTCAGCTTAATTAGACTATTTAAAGTCTTCATTTTATTGAGGGCTTCCACCTGAAAGAGATATTTTATCATTAAGAGTTATTGCTCTGATTTGAGATAAAACAATGTGAAGACCCATTTCATGACAAAACCAAGTATAAAATAATTCTACAACTTTTTAAAAATGGAAATCATGGATGGAAATTAAGTCACTCATGTTTCAGAAATATCATTTTCATGATCAACAGAGTCACCAATGAGATGAAAGCTCCTAAACTTTAAGTCACTTTTAAAAGCATGACTTAGCATTTCCAAAAAACTGAGTGAGGCATTTTAATGTATGACACATTAACACAAATCCCTTCTTCAAAGTACAATTTTTAGTTCCCTATTTCAGCAAAGCACATAACATAGGTGCCCCTAGGCATACTGAAGGAACAGAAATACTGATTATTTCATACTCTAACAAACTGAGACATTACTGGAGATGAGCTGTGAATGCAGATACTTCAAAGAGCCAAGTCTTAGATGTGTGCCATTAAAAACCTGCTGAAGTCAGGCAGAACACGAAAGCTTTAATTGGCTAAGGTGTTTGAAACATAGAATCTCAATTAAGCAAAGTTTTTACCTTAGAAATGTGTAAAAAGTCCAGGCAATTATTTGCAATAATACAGGTGGGTTTAACTCCTTTCCCCCTTCTGTTTTGCAAAGTTTTTTACTGTTTCAAAATCTCCAAGGAAACTGGTGATATAAATGTCTAACACTGACAGAGCAAAGCCCCTTGACAAACCTAGATAGCACGTAGAGCAAATTCAACTTCTACATCTAAACAACTTTTTCACCAAATAGTTCTTGTAACAATCAGCTGTGTTTGCAGCAGTGAGGTGCTGGGCAGTACACATGCTCTAGCAAACAGCAGCAACGTAACAATTATGAAATTTCTATACAAGGAAGCTTCAGCCTGACTTACAAGGTGCTGAGTCAAAACTCATCCCTCCCACAGCCTGAACCCTGCCAGGCAGGATGCTGTGGAAATTGTATGGAGTTTGATTATAAAACTGGGCAGTGGAGAGCTGCCAGGTCAGCCATCTGTCAAAACCAAAAGTGCTCTGCTTTTCCACTATTCTAGGAGCTGTACAAACATCAGTGACAAGAGAACAAAATGGAACCTGTGTTGTACAAACAGGAACTTTTTGAAGTATTTCTACTTTGAATTTCTTCCGTGTTTGCACAGTTGGGAATTTTTTTGCCCCTTCTTTGATTTTACTGACATTTGCTTCCTGTAAAGTGCACAAAAACTTCACTGACCTTACGTCTATTGCTTAAAGCATTTCACCACCTACTCTTTTCATGGTTTTGACAATGCTAACAAGCACACATGGAAGAAATGGTCTTTTCTACGTCCTGTGAGCTGCAGCAATAAAGAGCACAACAGACCATCCCTGTTCCATGTGTTCCCAAAACACAGTTTCAATGCAGACAAACACTACCATCAGTTACTCATCCACTGAGTGACTGGCCTGACATAATAAAATACTTTAACTCCAAAGAGAGACCATTTTTCAAATATTTTTGAGATCACAATCTAAATTAACTCACTAAAACTGCATTAGAGACTTCAAACGTGTCTCTTAATGATCTGCTGATACAATTATTAGTGCTTTCAAAAGCAAACCTCTCATGTTTATTAGGGTATTTAAAAGCAAACATATCTCTCCTTTGTTCTTTCTCTGTGTGTATGTGTACATGACAGACCTGTATTAACACTAAAATTACTATTTGAATTATTTGCACCTTTTAACAAAAGCCAAAGCCGCAGGAAGTAGTTCTGGAGTAATCCAGGTAAAATTTCAAACAAGCTACCGTTACAGAGAGAAAAACTTGAAATGTACAAAGCCCTTCTTCAGTTAATCCAGAGTCTCTGTTGTGTCCAGAATACACAGACAGTGATGAAGGTGTCTCACAGGTCTTAGAGCACTGCAAAACCTGCTCCCTGAGGCCCCACAGCCCTGGCTGCCTTCTGTGCCATGGAGACTGCCCCATCACTCAGCCCTTTTAATTCCCTTTGTCACTCACACCACCTACCTTTGTCAAAGCAGGCAATACCCCCCCAGGAGCAGTGGAATAAGGATGGGAGTTCCAGGCTTGGATAGGTCAGGATGACAGCAAAGGGAAGTCCCTACCTGTTTAGCTAGCACCTTCATATGAGCCACGCTCCCCCTGCAATAAGCCTCCAGAATCAAACCAAACTGCACCGACACGGCGGGGATGTGAACCTCCGACCTGCAGGGGGAAAAGCTGCTCATCACATCACAGCATTTACACAACTGCATCACTCCAGTCATTCAAAAACACAAAACAAACACAGAAATCCCCAAAACAAACACTAAAACACCTCATGGTCACATCAAACACTAAAACACCTCATGGTCACATAGGTGAAACAAAAAGCCAGATTTCTTAGAAAATGCTAGAACCCCTCTGTGCTGGAGACAATGAGGACAGGCCAGTTTGGATGCAGGACCCTTGTTTCAAGGCCCAGGACTGCTCTGGGGGCAGCAATGTTCATGCCAAGAGGTGGTGACTGCACACCTGCTTCAGGACCTTTTATTCAGAGCAGCACTGAGAAGTCACTGAAGGGCTGACTTTAAATCACACATTCTCCAGCCTTTGTAAGGGAAAAGCCCAATTTGCCTGAAGGAGAACACTTTGAAACAAACCACTGAACTTTGTATCAGAGCCAATTATCCTCTAAAACATTTTCATGTAACTTGCTCCTTTTAGCTAGAAATATTAAACTCAATTGTGTTCCAAAAGACAGAATCAACCTATCCAGCCTATTCCAGTCCATTCTGCCAAGGCTTCTGCCATTCATGAAACTGCTCATCAAAAGTAGCAAGAACACACAGAACAGCTTTTATTTTCTGTTAGACTGGCAACAATAATAATTTTTCCCAACTGTGAGGTATAAATATTGTGCTTTTACTGCACCCACAGCCAAAACAAACACATGGGGTATTTATAAACCTAACTCATCAGGTAGTCAGAGCTGAATGCATTTTGGAATACTTTCATGCAAGGGTAGATTACAGACCACTCTAATTTATTTTTAATGGGAAGTCTGATTTATAGATGCCAAAGATAAAGAAACAAAGAGGAGTTGTGGGGCACTATGATAATGGCTCATTTAGAAGAATCCTCAAGAAGTCATATTTGAAAGTCCAATTAGGCTCAACAGTTTCAGAAAGATGAAAAGGAAAATCTCCTACCTCAGGTGCCAGAACAACATCTGTCCTATTCTCCTGTTTCCAAGTGCTCTTTCCAAGAGAAACCTGGAGAGTGCACAATCCAGAAAAGGCTCATACTTCAGGACTTGCACAAGCTGGAGAAGATACTGAGAGAGCTCTTCATCACTAGAATGAGGTACATAAAAGCAGTTAGTAAGACAGTAGCTAGATTAGTGATACTCCAGAAATTCAGGTGCATATGACAAACCCAACAGTGACAGGATTTGGTTCAATAATAAGAGTGTCTACCAATTTTTCCATTACACAGAGAAGGACAACACACAACTTAGTGCAACTTCCAGATGGAAATAATTCCAGATGCATTCTTGGGATAGCCCAACACCCAAATTCCTTGTTTGGATTTGAAAGAAGTCAAAATAATTTATTTTTTTTTACACCGAAAGTCTATCCTTGACCATTAAAAATTAATCACTAAACTATTCACCACAGAGAATTCAGAATTCAAGGACAGGAAATGTGCAGTAATGATAATGTTACACAAGTCCTGCCCTAGGTTACAGTGGAGAGCAAATGAAATGCAATAAGGGAAGAACTGCAGAGAAGAAAGGCTCCTGTGGATCAAAACCAAATCAGTAATTCATTATTTATTACATGCTGCAGCTCACATTCCTATTAAATGGTACAGCCAGAGTGGAGGTGGCTGGGTGCCAGGTGCTACAGTATTTGACTCCAAGAATATTTTCCCCTTTGTTATTAAAAGGTTTCTCAGAGTTTCTCGCTCTCCTGTGCCCAAGAAAGTGATGAACACCCAGTCCTCTCTGTGATAAAGGTGCACAGGTGCTCTCCTTGCAACATGGAAAGCAATCATCATTTCCTGCAAGGTGTCAGAATAAGGTGCTTTTATTGAGCTGCCAGTGAGCCTATCCAGAAATTAGACTGCTTTATTTGGCCACCTATTCATGGCAGGCAGCGTGTTCAGCTCCTTCCTCTTGGGGTTGTTTTATCCTGTGAGCAAACAGAATGAAGTTTGGCACCCCAGAAACCCTCACCTACCTCATCTGCCTCAAACACCCCACTGCATATTCCCTGACGTACTGGTCAGGATAATTGAAATCCAGCAGCTCCAAAGCCTCCCTGGGCAGCAGCTTGGGCCAGATCTGCAGGAGGGCCTGAAGCTGTTCCAAAAAAAAGGTGACAGGTAAGGACACAGGTGGGTCTCACTGCTCACAAAGGAAAGAAAGAATTTGGGGTAACTGGGCCCACTTCTGATTAAGTTTCTCACGCTTCAAAATGATGCAGATTACTTTTAGTCTGAAAAACCTGTTTTTCTACATGCAGACACAATGCACAGTAAACAAAAATTAGGGAACACCAGGTATGTATGGCTTGAAAACAGACATTCAATAAAAATGTTTTGTAAGTGCTGTCATAAACATATAACCTATATGTTTATGACATAAAAAAAAAAAAATTTTGTTGAGAGCAAGCTTTCTTTACCAAAAATATTTGTCCACCTCAACTGATGGAGCCTTTGTGAACAATCACTGTGAATAGTAATGAGCTTAAACTTTAAAAAAACAAAAAGGTCAGGTTAGATAATAAAACAATGTGCTGGAAAAAAATTACAGAATACAATGATGCATAACTTTGGACTACCAAAAAGAACAACATTTAGAGGTCTCAGAAAATAAACTGATTTTATTCCATTGTTATGAAGCTCACAGCTAGCTGCTGAGAGCAATATGAGTTGCATCACTGAAACAGTGCACTATAAATACAAATAAACTCTTTAATGCACATTAATATAAATGCATATTAGTATAAATGCAGTGTATCAACAGCACAAGTTGTTTCTTTCTGTAGGAACAAGCTATGATAATAATACCCTTCCCTATAAATTAGATAACACAGGTTACTTCATCTTTCAATAGCAACTTATAAAATCTGAATAAGATCTTGTTTTTCTCCTGATTTCATAATGACTTTACAGCAGTGAAAAAATCTTTATTTCTACTCTGTCACACATCAGCTCCTGCTTCCAGCAGCAGTATGACAAACACGAGTTCACATTCTCAGCCCACATTTACCAGGCAAGTTCATAACACCATTTATACACCTTGGGGGCAGATTCTGAATTGAGTCATCATTTTTGTGAAATCCAGAAGGCAAGAAATGGGTATGGATCACGGTTCAAAGCCAGGGCTGTGCTGCAGCTCCAGAAGTGGAGGAAAGGATCAGCCAAACTGCTTCCATGGGCACATGCACAATTCATAGTGACATAAAGTAAAACTACAGGTGTTTTAAATATAGATGTCACATTCCCACAGAAAAGTACACTCAAAAATACACTCCAAAATCTACTGACCCAACAAGTGTCAACGATGCCAGTCCTGATGTCAAGGACTGCAGCCACCAACACTTCCATAGCAGAAATGCTGGGACTGAAACTGTGCAGGAAATACTGACCCTGGTCACATATTTAATGCACAAGGCAGACACTGAAAATGTGAACAGCAGCTCTGCTTGTCAGACAGCCACAGACTCCAGAACTATCAGAATTTCTACACAATCTGCTGTAAATCAGGTGCAGAACCAGCAAAAAATAGAGACATTTTGTTAATACTGAATGATTGAAATGGAGAGCCTGAAATATTCTGAAAAGATGAGCTCAAGTGGTCCCACATGCCTCATATATCAGGCAGTGAAAGTCATGGCCCACAGTGTGTACATTAACTGAAGATGACGTGAAAATGCAGAGCTCCTCCCTTTGCTGAAATCATTGCACAGGGGGTTGCAATGAGAATGAACAATGTGTGTTTCAGAGAAAACTCAAATTTGGCCTTGGTGTATCAATATTTTCTTCTATAAAGAAATAACCACAATTTCTTCCCTAACAAGATTATATGAGACAATACAATTAAGCAGAAGCCAGTATTTTTATTCCAGTTATTTCAAGTATTTCAGCTGTCCTTTCTCTACTTTCAGTAATGATGGTGTCACTTCACTGAGAGCAAGTGGATTTTTTTAATTTCTTATAATTTTTTTTTGTTTGCTTGTTTGAATTCTGCTTTGAGAAGAAATACTGTCTTTGCTTTCTACTAACAAGTTCTGCCATCTTGCAGGTGGTTATGGCAGCAGTAAGGGCAATTCCTTCTGTGCAACCATTCTACTGAAATCCTGCAAATCCAACAAGGGCTTGGTAAATAATGGCAAATAATTCAGGAAAGCTGCTTGAATCCACTGGACATAACTTCATGGGCCACTGAACTAACAGATTAAAGACAGTCTACAATCAAATATGAGAGACCATTTCTAAGAGAGCCTTACTATTTTTAAGCTGCATTAATAAAACAGGAATATAGTTATTAAGTCCAAACAGCTGGTGTTTGATTGCTTTTTCTTATGAACAGCTGGTGTTTCCTTCTTTGGGTTTTGTTGTTTCATGTTTGGGGTTTTTTAAACCTCTTGCTTGAGGTGTCAAGACTTTTACTGAAACACATCTAAAAATGGGCATCAAAACAACTTTTTGGTACAACAGCGTGCCCACTGTAGCAGGCAACAACAGCTAGTACAGCAAATATTTAATTTTAATGGGAAGTAAATTATGAATCCTGATAATTTTGGAATTCCTGAAATTCATGAGGCTGTCTTTCCTTACCTGAACAGGTAAATCAGTAGGAGTACTGATACGTCTATGTGCTACAGAAACATTCAGCATGCTTAAAGTAAGATCTCATTTTTCAGAGAGACTCTCCACACTGGCAAAACCAATATTATGATATAAGCTGCACTTTTGTCTCTAAATAATCAAACATAAATACTATATTTCTTCCAGAAAGTACACAGTAACAAGGTATCATATTTTCAGCCATTTGTTTAAATAAAAAGGTTTATGTATATATAATACTTAATGTTTACAAATGTAAAGGACTTTGAGCTGTCAGCTAATATCCATCCTCCAAATAACTTTTCAAAACTGCCACCAAGGGCCATATTTCAAAGCCCCAGCACTCAGAATGCCTTTTTCTTCACATATTTTAAGAAGCAAATAAGTGCCTGCTTTTATTTCTACAGTTTTGATTTATAGATAGCTTTTAATAATGAACAATAAATTCAGAAGTAATGGAACTTTACTAGTAAGTAAAAGGAACTTTACTAGTAGCAAGGAACAGCATTCTTGCACATGAAAGAACACAAGTGAGCAAGGAATGTGTAGGTGTTCCATTTTGTTAGTGTAGTGTTCATGGCACAGACAAGGAGCTGGGATGAAATTCCATTTATTTTTAGAAGTCCACAGAACATATACACCTAGCTGGTAGGAAGGATGCAGCAGAAAATGAACTCTCTGCTGGAGCAAACTAAGGATCTGGCTGACTGGATAATCACAAAAATCACATCATGGATAGACAGAAGATGGATTTTCATGGGGTGGCTGCCTTTTCCTCCATGAACATGTAGCTTGTAACATGTGAAGGCTAGAATACTAAGGCAAAATAGAATTTTATACCATCAGTCATAACCCTTCACAGCAAATGCTTTTTAGCTCTAAGTTCATAAAAAATAAAAAAAACTAGTTGAAAATTTTTAAAATGAGACTCAGAGAAAGACATAAATATTATCTCAGTGTAGTGGTCTGCAAGAAGCTGAGCATCATTTGTATCAGAATTCTGTCAGGAAGACCAGAACAATGCATGGCTCCACCCCTTGCAGCGAGTGCTGTGCTTGGTAACTGTGGCCAGACTTTTTAGTTTGGCCCAAACTTCTCTGTACACAATCTAAAACATTTCAACACCAATCCAGAAACCTGTTACTTTATCACTTTTAAAATCAGCCTATCAAGCCATGATGGTCTTACTACAAGCTCATATAATTATTCCTGTAATAAAGTTCAATCTGTTCCCAAAAAGCAACCCAAGAGTTGGATTCTATTTGGGTAAATACAGCAGCAAAAGGCAGCTGCACCAACTCCTTTACAGTGTAGTGAAGTAACCCTGCACATCTGTACATCAAACAAATGAAACTATTTTACTGAAAATGCACCTTGTATCGCAGCACCAGCCTCACGTCCTTAAAAGTTACTTTGAAGAGGCTCTATTTGGTCAAAGAGAGAGGATGTGAATGATGTGTTTTGTACATTGGTTGAGTCTCACATCTCTTTGAAAAAACAGTGAGGTTTGATTACCCAGTCTGAGATGTGGATTTTATAGTATTTGAGTAGCTTAACAATTTGCACAAGAAGTTTTATTTCAGATCTTGATTTCCAGAATTTCTTTTTGCTGTGAGGGTGGCCAAGCAGTGGGCTTTGCTGTCCAGAGCCTGTGGAGTCCCCACTGGTGGAGATTCTCCCACCCCAGCTGGACACAGACTAGTTCAGGCTGACCATCTTGGAGCACTGGGCTGCACTGGGTGACTGTGAAATTCTTGCTTTTAACATCAAATTTGAGCACGAGGTTTTAACATTAGGCTCTAATATCCACTGTGCTTTTCTCATCATTTAGAGGACCCTTGAAATGAATTTTGGTTTTGGTTTATGGGGGGTTTTTTGAGAGAGTAAGTTCTTCTTTACATGTCCAGGCTGCAGAAGTCAGACACTGAACTCCAGCTTGCACAACAGCACCATTTCAAACTGGCTCCATTTGGGAAAGAAATCCTGTTTACTGATGGTTTAACTGAAGCTTTTCCCCCATCATTGTTGTCTTTTCCCTTACCTGAGCAACGTCTTCAAGTTTGTTCCACTTTAAAGAGAGCAGCAGTTTTGGCAACGATTGTGGGAAATTTTCACGACAGTCATATCGCAAAGTCCAAATGAGATCCATTTCATTTTCACAAAGCTGAGATAAAGGATCTCTTTCCATTATATCTTTTAGCACAACATAAAACTTCTTACCACCTCGACCCTAGAAAATGAGAGATGTAGAATGTGATAAAAATTCAGTAAGATTCTGGTATGGTAGCTCAAATACCAGCAATCCTATAGCAGAAAGAACATCAGATAAAAACTCATGAAACACAGGGAAACGGCCACTGTGCCTTTCTTTCAGCTTCCTTACTGCAGGCACTGTAAGTAACAGATTCTAAATCCAGCAGAACTTTCTGAAACAGTAACTCAACTTTGGAGTTAAGGACACTAGATGGCAATATTTCTGTTTTCCAACTCCAACACGGAGCACTCTCATTTAGGATGAATATAGTCTCTTCTTCTATTTTTCAAATGATCAAATTTAGATACATGAATAACTATTTCTTTTCATTAGAAATAAAAAAAAAATACTTTTGCAACAATCAAAAGAAAACACAGCTGCCAAGTAGAGAGACACTTACTTTGGTCTTCTAATCTTAAATTGTTTTCCAGCTCTAATGTAAATTTTAGCTCACAGTCCAAAATATATGGGAAAAAGCAGTTATATATCTGAGTTTTAAAGCAGTTCATCAAAGTGAATTATGTAAGAAAACAGAGCCACTAGAATTTCTATTTGAGCAGTTGACTCATTTATTTCTAGATTGATGCAGAAGATAAGAACTGAAAAAACACAGAAAATTAATTTTAAAATACTCTTTAGATGATGCTCACCGCCATTGCAGCATTGTCACTGTTTCTTGCAATCTCAGCTGCCTTTTCAAGTATCTGCAAGAAGTTGGTTTTAAATACATTAGATTTAACCCCAGATCTGACTGCATTGCTAGAACAAGCATTACAGAAATGAAGCAGATAAGGAAATGTTGCTGTCTTTTAGGCAGTTTTGTATCTTCAGTAGTATAACACGGACTTGTGTGCAGTGTCCCTTTTCTCATCTGCACTAGGGAGATCAGGAACAGCAGTGCTCGTGATGATCTCGATTATTTCCTTTTTCACCACTCCTGAGCTAAATTAAACAGCCTTACTGATGACATCTTGCTTTCTGTTTCTGCTTTTCCTCCTATTTTTCACCTCAACAAACCAACTCCTCAACTCTGAGTTATCCTTTGCTTTCTCACCTCTACTGGTGCAGTTTCCAAGGGCACTATTTTCATGCCCATGGAACCATGCTTCCAGCCCTCAATCCCAGTAAGAATCCACAAGCCCAGTCCTTTCACCATGCTCTCAGACTGCCCATATGATCCCAATCAGTACATGCAGGTACTCCTCTTGATCTTGGATCTCCCCTGCTTTTTTTTGTTTTGTTTTTTTTTTTTTAATTTCCTTTTGAACATTATATTTGGTTTTTGAAGTTCAACCCATAATGGAGAATTAAGTCTAGAAGTAAATGCAGTTATTCAAAGTGCATTCTGCACATTACTGCAACCAAGCCAGGTGTTACAATGAAGAACTGGCCCAGTATGTCTATCCACAGCTGCTTTGAGGAACAAATCATAAAATAAAATCTCAATAAAGAGAAAAGTCTAAGGAACTCCAGCATCTCCTTGCTCTGAGAGCTCTGCCTCTCCTATGACACAGGAATACAACAGCATCCCCAGGTCCAGCAAGACTTGTGTTGTTTTCACTCAGACAACACGAGAAACAACAAAAGATTGTAATAATCAGAGCATAAATACCCAGCAGCTAAAATCCTTAGAAAGGCATCCTAACCTGTTTTATTTCTTTTCTCTGTATGAAACTCTCATTAATATCATGGATTACATCTGCTACTTGGCTACAAAGCTTATTTACATACTCTGTGTGAAAACATGCATAAACAAAACCACAGTGTCCTAATTCTATGCTTGATTCTTGCCTCCCAGTGCTCTGCAGAGTTACTCTGTTTGCAAACAAACTTTCAAAGTCTTTGCAAGTCCAGCTTTGTTTGAGTGAACCCTGAGCCCCACAATGTGCCTGCAGCACTGGCCATGGACCAGCCCCACACATGGCTCCTGTCTCAGACAAGTTTCTTATCCCTGATCCAGGCACTTTTGCTCCCTCAGCATCAAACAGCTCCTCACTGTGCAAGCAGGTTGATGATATGATGGAAAAGATTGATCTATTTTTGCACATTATGTTTCCCCTAACAAAAATCTGGCATCTCTTTCGTTGTTTTCTTGGCAGAAACAAGCAACAACACCGGGAAAATGAGAAGCAGCCATAGAGCAAGCAAGTCTCAGCTGGAGCATTGTGAGAGACAGATCCTCAGCTGATGTAATTCCAGCAGCTGCAACGTCACTCCTCATTCAACAGAACCTGCACCAAGAGAATCTTTAGGAGATTGAGTTGAATGTAGCTGAAAGCTACAAGGGATGAAGACCATTACACCTTAATGTCACTACACTTTGTCTAACCCAGTCAAATCTACTGGCTGCATTCAGCCCAGGGTTTTAACTTCCTGAGAACATGGTATTGCAGGGACAAAGAAAAGAAACATCAGAGCCAGAACAAATATGTGATTACTAAAGATAAGACTTTTAATTAGCCCCTCTGTAATATGTATGTCATTTTTTTTCTTTAGAAATTAAATACATGTAAGTGCAATGAGCAAAAAATTTAAAGCATTATAAATAAGGCAATACCAAAATTGGATAAAATATGTCCACTATGAAGTGTTAACTGGTCAGCCACAAGTAAGGTAGCAATTGTTCAGTTCTGGTTTAGCTCTTACTGCATTTCCAATGCTGTTTGAATAAAAGAAAAAGTACTGTGTTGACAAAGAGGGGGAAACACTATCAACCCAAACTGAAACAAAAGAAACCCTATCTTGTTACTTGATTTCATTTTTATGAGCCTTAAATCCCAAGTCTGCCTTTGAACAAGATGATGAAACTTGGCAATTTCAGTCTTTGAGTCCATGCCACTCAAAGGTGCAAAATCCTCCAAAAAAAAAAAAAAAGAAAAAAAAAGGCAATTTCTCTGGGTTGTTACTGACTTTCCCCAAACCAAAATTCAGATTAATGTGTATATGAGTTAAGCCTGACTTTTATAATGTATTACTAGCAGTCTGTTTTAAGACTTATTTCATTACTTGTTTCCAGGTCTTAGCTTTTTTTGCTAGTTTCTGAACAACATTTCATCTATCCTTCACACTACAGAAATAGCCACACATATTCCAAATATTCTTATCTTCATCTGTAGAAAACTGCAGGGCCACTTCAGTGGATTCAGTCCCAGAGCAGACCTTCAGAAATCCCTTTGCACACAGTATTAAGAGTCCATTTATCCTTTAAAGGACTTGAGTTCACAGGGCAGTGTCCCAAAGAGTGGGTAACACACATTTGTACCAAGAAAGAACAAATCTTTATAGATCACAGGCAAGCACAGTTTGAAGGTTTCCAGAACAGCAGATAAATTTAGCTTTTTGTAAGATCATTCATATTTCGGGAAGCTGATTTGCTTTTGACCTTCAAAAGACCATGTACAGACCACTTTTAAAAGTGCACATCTTCAAAATAGACCCTGAAGTCAAGCACATACCAAACTGCAGAATGGTGACTAAAAGGCAGGGAAAGGGGAATTCACTGGAAAGGCAGTGTTGAAAGGAAAGAAGGAACACCTATTTCCACATAAGCATTCATGACTGCTCTTTGGGTCATCCCTTACCTTATCAAAGGGAGGGTAATTAATAGGCTGTTTTGAATATTCCTGAAATCTAATGTGCAAAGCTGTTGCATTCTCAGTGTAAGGGTTGGTCTGGACGGTTCCCATGGGATTCAACATTTCTTCAAGTTCGTCTGAAACACAAACAGAACAGTTAATATTACAGGCCAGGCATGCAGTAAGAAGTCACTGCCTTATAAAATGGACAGAGCACGTTTTGCTGCACAACACTTTCAGTGCAATGCTCTGTATTTCCAGCATAAACCACCTCCTGCATTCCCAAATGTTGGATTATCACCCCATGAGAAACTGATTTCCTTAAATAAACATAATAGTCAGTGAAGCTGAGCTCTCCCTACACTGAAACAAATCCTAAGAGATCTAAAGCTTCTGCAAAGCAGGAGACACCCTCTGGATCAAATGGAGCAGAGCTTCAGGCCAGCCAGGCTGGGACAGCATTCCTCAGGATGGGATCAAGAGTGACACCGAGGCTCCAGGCACTCTCACTGATTGATCTCAGTATCAGGGAGAAGACAAAATCCTACTTCACAGTTTTTCCTGATGCACATATTATCACTTGCATTATAACTGATCTATTTAATTTGGGGTGCATGGCACAGGAACCAAATGAAGCCTAAACTGCACCTCAAAAGCAAGTAACATCAGAAATAAACATGCATTTATTTTATGTGGTTTTCCTTCCATAGCAAATTAAACTTTTAGAACACTAGCTCCAAGCAGGCTCTTGCTCTTCCTGTTTCCTGCTAAACAATACTTTCCTGAAAGAGATTAAAATGCTGTATATTTATCCACATAAAAATTACAAGTAATAAAGAGATTATTACAAGAGAACTGAACATGCATACAGTAAATCTTCTGCTATTGGATCCCACACTCTGCCACACTTAAAGTCCAAATCTGAAAAGCTGAGGTTTACCAGGAAATGATGACCAGCTGTGCAGTACCAGTTCTCCAATCCTCAAGTGTCCTTTATAATCAAACACCATGGTATTTACCCAGGCTACAGGATAATGCTGCCAAGGGAAAGAATTGTCACATGGAAATGAAGATGCCAGCAAATGTTACTACACAGAAAACACTGTAATATACATACAATTGAGAGGGTGACTTGGGTTTTTTTTTTTCAAATGGTGATATCTTTCAGAAAAGTAATTAATCACTGAGAAGTATCAAAAGTTTTCATACCAAGATGTGCAATTCTTAATATATACTGTTTTCAATACCTTTTCTTTTAATTTTGCATTCTTGAGCACTAAAATGAGGACAAGGAAAGACTTCTGGATGCTCATTTTGATATAACTAGGAGGTTACTCAAGAAAAACAAATAAAATAATTACCACTTTTCCTGCTTTCCTAATGGTTTGGTATTTGGAAGGATTCATTGCCTTGGTAGACTTTTTAGTTTTCATCTTATCCATGACAGCATAAACAGCAAAGCAGAGCCTTGCCATCCTTGGCAGATCACAGACATTGATTTCAAACTCCAGCACTTCATTCCAAATGTGGTCACTTCTCCCAGATATTTCTGTGCTTACAATTGTTTTACAAAGGAGCTCTGTGCCATGGAAAAGACCAGCCCTAACATGAACCTGCCATAAAGAAATGAGAGATTTTAAGCTTGTCACAGAACCTACAGAGTTCTGCATAGAATAATATACAGAACACACATACATATGAATTTCATCAAACAAACAACTAAGCAGAATGAAGAAGTTAAGACTAATTTTCTGAATACAAATTAAAATCTCCAGGTAGAAACAATTTGTGCTTCTAAGTGAGAAAGGTCTGGGGGTTTTTTTTCAGCTTAAGAAAAAACTCATTTTTTATTTAAACTATTTCCAAACAGTTTAGAGGGAACCCGGCTGACCCTAACAGCAGGAGTCACCTGTAATAATAATGACAATGTATGGGATTTCCAAGTTTTTTTTGTCTTTAGTACCCAGAAACCAACAAAACCAGGTAGCTTGAACAATGAAAATAAGGATCAGGAAAGGAGAAGGACAGCTAGAGAAAGAAGCTGGAGTTATGGCACTGAAATTAAACTCAGTTTCAGGTCAATGCTAAGATGCTTCCCTGTTCTTTCTTTTCATCTTTTTGTTTCATTTCTACATTTCTGTTCAATAACATATATATACAGAAAACTGCACAGTGAAATGAGCCAATTCTTTTCAAGTGGCCTTCCAAAATACCAGTGTGAAAAAGAGACACAGAGTAAGAAAAACCCATAAATGTAATCTTTTGGTCAACACCAAAAAAAAGTTCTCAATGTTAAATGTTAAATGTGTAAAAGTGCTCTTATGTTTCAGGTTCCCTCTGCTCCTGAATCAACCTTCCCCACATTCCCTTTGAGCTATCATTTTATTGCTGAGCACTGTAAGGGAAAGAGAGAGATATTAAATTTGATAGTGGTTTTGAGTCAAAAAAGAATTCACCTCTTTAATTCTATGGCTTCTGATCCTGTTAATATAAGGTACTGGATCCTAATTTTTTTTCTTTTCATTCTGTCATGCCCCTTTTACAAATGAAATGGTGTGTACTGATGAGGTGACCAAAGAGCAAGACAAAAGAAGAGCAATTTCCAATGCCACGTGTTTGGAAAATGGGGTGTTGGACTGCTGGGTGAGGTCACTTGTGCCCCAGGTGGATGTCCCCAGCCCAGCTCACACTGCAGCAGTGCTACCCAGCTGACAGATGTTTTGTTCCCTGCTACAAACACTGCATTTGTGAACCTTGGTGGTGGTTTCAGCAGAAATGGATGAATATTGGCTTATCCACGGCACAGTGGGGCTAAAGGAACAATGGCAGTGAATTAAACAGCCTTAGAATCAGGACTGGAAAACAAATACATTCTTAATAGTGACAATTTTGTAACACTGTAGACAGACATGGCAGGGAAACATGCACAGGTTTGCAGGGTCATTGCATTCATTCTCATTCTGGGTTACCCACTGAACTTTTAATTTTTCGAGACTAAAAAAAGCATTCAAAACAAACATTTAGATGTTGCCCACAGATGTCAATACAAAAGAACTGCACATTTTTCCTGTTTCTTCTCAAGCTGAGAGAATATTTTGATTAATTTTCCCCTAAAAGCATACTGAAATTAACCAAAAGTCACTTTTCTAAGCATGAAAAAACACCTTAGAAACTCCTGATAGCTACGTTGCTTGCACAATCCAATGGCTCCTTTATCTTTTGTTTTAAAAACGTAAGAGTTTACTGAATAGAGTTAAGAAGATATTGGAATTAGCTAAATAATGATTTAGACAAAGAAAAGGGAAACAGCTGGTTTTGCAGCCATCCATTTCCACAATCACACTGTCTCAGGTATTAAAAGGTAACTATGGCTCATTTATCTGTAATGTAAAACTTCTTTTTGGTGTTGACCAAAATGTAGGTTTGGTAATTTACAAGGAGGCTGTAACAACAGTTTTGAATGAAAAAAATGAACCAAGTATCCTGAATAAAGCATGAGAACAGCAAATATCAATGGTTAACCACAGGAGTGGCTACACAATTTACTGATCTCTAAACCAAATAAAGGAGTTTAATGCTTTTCTACCTCACAGGCAAGTGTTTTGTAAGGCATTGAGGTAGCTGTGCAATAAATTCCCATGTGTTAACAACTTGTGGTCTATACAGCAGTCAGTAACCCAGTCATGTATATTTTTACAGGAAATGATACTCCAGCTTTCTTTCTTTGTGTTCCTTATGTGTAGAAAATAAAAGACATATTGTATAGAAGCACACAGTCCAAGTTCAGACATACAGAATATATTCAGGACTACAAAAATACCACTTTAAAGCCTTTAACATTTAATTTACTCGTGTCAGGTGTTTATGACAATCTATTTTAAATGAGTTCATTTCACACCACTATCAGCACTTTAGAGAAAACATGTTTTAAAAAATCAAATACCAATGAACACTTATGCCATACTGCCACAATGATCGGCACATATCCAACTCCAGGCAATAAAGGAGTATTTTAGCAATAAAGCCAGATTTTGACTAATGATATTGGGAATAAATGAAAATGCTGAAATCTTTATGATTCTGAGTTCACTTAGCATTGAAAATCATTAAAATGATGAACAGGATGTCATCTGATACCAGACACAATTACTTACTTTGGCATTTTCTTCTGTGTTTAGTTTATTACCCTTTAATAGAATAATCTTGAATGGGTTAGAAATATCCCACACACTCTGAGAAGAGAAACAAAGACACAAGTTCATTCTTCACCACTGTAACATTGAGACCTACTTTGTAAGCTAAGCATTTTAAGCAAAAATATCAAATACAAACCAAAAAAATGCAGTTAAAAATATAAATTTAAAATCTTCAAAGATAAATTGGTTATCACAGCTACAAGAGTAGACAAAGTAAAAACTCAGCTGGAAGAGAGTTGGGGGTGAGAACATATGTCGTGTACTACATCCTGACAATTCAAAATTGATTGTTCATTCTGAATAACTCCAGAGTGTGTAATAAAGCAAAGACCTGTCCACATTTCTGTTTATGTTTAAATCTCCCAAGCAACAGGAGGCTCTGAGTCGACCCAGGTGGGCTACACTGGGACACAGCAGTGACAGCACAAGTCCCAGGCACTGTGAACAGCAGTGACAGCACAAGTCCCAGGCACTGTGAACAGCAGTGACAGCACAAGTCCCAGGCACTGTGATTTATGTCCCCCAAGTTCCCTTTTGGTATCAGACGTTCTCCCTATGAACTCACAGTTGTTGCTCTTGTTTTTTTTGGTGGCAGAGGAAGAGGGAGGTTGGAGGATTTTCGGTTTATGGCAGCTTCTATGGCAATCATCTCCTGCTCACACATCTTCTTTATGGTGCAGCACTCCACCAGTGTCAGCTGGGGAAGGGTCCTGCTCATCACACAGTTGCGGATATACTGAAAGGCCAGGGAAAACAGCTGTTAGCAGCCAGCAGAATAGTTCTACAGCAACCTCCAAACCAAAGAAACAAAGAATTCATCACATGTGTTTTACAACTGCAGAGGGCTGCAGACACCAGGAGGGAGATGCTGCTGTTCAGTAGTGGGATGGGAGGAAGCACCTTTGGCCAAAGCAGCAGAGAATTGTTACATCAAGTTCCAAAAAATTCTGTGTACCTGGAACTGAATTAATGGGTGATCACCAAAGACATATTCCAGTCTTCCACTAACTTGCAGCACATAATCAGCAGGATCAACTTCCTCATCTTCTTTTCCATGGATAGTCAAACGTTTTCGGATTGCCAGTTCATTCAGCTTGATGGGATTCATGTTAGGAGACACCTGGAAACTAAATACATCCTAACAAAACACAAACAGAAATACTGAAGGACAAAGTTGTCATAGGCAAACACACAAGGCTAAGATTTTAGCACACATAATAAAACAGGTAGAAATAATAACTGTTAAATCCAGACTATTTTAACATTTAAAGTCTGATTATTATGACAATCAAAATAAGAGACACCCTAAAAGCTGTTAGATGTTAATTTCGAAACTTTTATATTATCAGAAGAACTTTTTAAAACATAGGCCTTTATTTGATTTAGCAGTGATTTAAACACTTCTAGAGCAATGTATTGTTGGAATGCTGAATGAGGGAGACAATAAATCACAATGCATTTCAAAGTATTTAGCAGTACTAGATGTGTTAATTTTCCATTTTTCTGGCCAGTAGCAAGTTATCCTTTTTCTAAGTATCATTGAACTCACAAGCAAAAGCTTCAAGTAAGAAAGAAGAAGAAACTGTGAATGTGATTTATGTAGAAAACCATCACCACATTGGGAAGAGAGCAGAAAAGAGGAGTAGCAGCCAATACGTGCAGCACTCTGAACACAACGTGGAAAGACTGCATTTTTAAAGAATGCTTTTAATTAAAACCCTTAGAGGCTATTGACCTATTTCCAAAGGATCTCTAATTTTGATGTGATCTAAAAATATTGAGGTAAGAAGTTACTCTCTTTTGTAAATTAAAAAGAAGGTTTAAATTAATTTCAAGTTCCTAAAGTACAAGGTCTTCTGTGAAATCTTTTATCTCCCTTCATCCATCACATTATGATTTACACAGGTTTATCTGCAAAGGTTGATTCAGGAGATCCTGGGGTCTTGTTGTTTTATTTTTTTCAAGGTTTTTTTTGGTTTGTTGTTTTTTTTATTTACATGCCCAGTTCTGAACATGTGAGCACCCTAAACCCAGATATTGACAAATGTGAAGTGTTGTCTGCTTAGAGTCTTTTGACTTGTGCTTTATTTATACAGACTGGTAAGAAGCCAAGCTGCCCGAATGGAACAAGCAAACTCCACACACTCACACTAAATTAATTCTGTGTTTTCTCAGTTTCTGCCTGGCTCACAACAGCTTCCCCCTTTCAGAAAGCTGCCACAGTGTGAAGGCTTTCATCTCCTGCCATAACTGCTAGTGATAGACAGGGAATAACACCTTTTCTTCCCAGGAAGCTGGTGCTCTCTGACAACCTTCCTCCCCACATGACCTTAACAGACATGTCACAGAGATGGGGAGCAGTGTCTCCTGATCCAGAGACAACCACAGAGCCCTTACAGCTCACCCACACCTTCCAGACAAAAAGTACTTTAATATTTCCTTCTCTCAATCTTGCAGCTGCAAGAGTTGACAGAACAGTCCCCACACCTTCCACTTTAATTCTCCTGGGATGACTCCAGTGCTCAGTGCAAGTAATGAAGTCTGGAACAGAGTTTACTGCTCTAAAAAGCAGCTCAGATTTGAACTGTTAATAGCTCTGAAGGTCAGAGCTGGCAGCAGAAGCATTTGAAACATTTGAAATGTCAGCAGCCTATGCTATTATAGTGGCAGGCAAATACATTCTGCACCAGCAAGAACTTTTGCACTGCTTTTGTCCTGTCAGCATATGCATATAGATGTAGTATTTAATCAAGGGCTGAAGATAATCTCACTCCTGCACAACTACAGGCTCTCTGTTAAGCTGAACAGGACTAGTAAAGGTTTTGTCATAGAACACTTTTGCATCCAACATCAGCTTGGGTTACTGCTGACCAAATTTAGCTTTTACCTCTACATTTAATGTTTACAGGGGCAGATGTGTGTACCATTTTAAACCTTTTAAGTTTAAAAAGATAGTGCTAGAAATAATTCAGCTTTGCAACTAAAATCATCTGAATCATTAGAAAATCAGCCTCTTGCACCTGAGTCAAAATGGACATCAAATCTAGCCTGATGTATTTACACACCTGTAAGTTTTTATGGTTTCCAATGCTGATTCATGGTTACCCAAAAGAGCAGAGTGCAAAAAAGGGTAATGGATATAGCGGACTCAGGCAGAGTCATAGCAACATCATAAAAACTCATGATAAAACTTTTCAGGTTTTCCTGGTAGAAAATAAAGGGGGGTTTATTTTAAAGGTTTTGCTAGCCTTAACAAATAGCTAACTCTAAGTCTCAGTGCTTTGGTTTCCTGTGTGCATTTCTAGTAAAGGGAATACCGATTCTTCTTTTTTAAAAAAAAATATTTCTCAATCTAATTAGCAGATCAACCCCAAAGATGTTCAGTGAGTCACACACAGAGACAAGTGTGTTGAATATGGTGCCTCCCAATTACCAGCAATCTCTGATGAACTGAGCTTAAAACTTAATGTAAGTGAAGCAACACAGGAACATTTGGCCAAAAAAACTCCTGACAACTTTGGATCACATTTCACATTTAAACAAACGTGTAGTAATATAGAAGATACAAGTTGTACATTTTACCTTTAGAAGCTGAACTGTAATTAGACTTTAGAAGTTCAATTAACCATAGGGTCACATTCTCACTTTCTTTCAAGAATCAAGGATCCTGGTGAAAGACTTTGAATTTTGAAGTAAACACCATAATGTAAGTGTTCTATTTCATTTATATCCATAAGCAATCCATTCTAATTCAGACCTGGATCAAGAACAGCTCATGAAACATGATGAACAACCATTCCTACCTGGCAATTGTCAAAATGAACAGCCACTACAAGGTTCCCACTGTAGAGTTTATCTTGGAAGCTCTCTGGGATAACAGGCTCCTGCTCTGGTGGGTAAGTGTGCTTCAACCAGTCCATCCAGGAGAGACCCACAAGAGATTGAATCTTTTCTTCACTGATTCTCCTCATTTTAGCTCGGAAGTCATTCACTTCAGGATCTTGTAAGGCATCGAACTCATGGAGACCTGAAAGAATTCAAGGAAGCAAAAGGATACACACAGCTGTACAAATGCTGCCCATCCCATTTAAACTTCTATCAGCTTTAAGTTAAGGTGACACAGGTGGTTTCCTTCAGATATCCCATCCAAAATGGGTGCTCAGAGTTGAGCTGGGTTCTACACTGTCCTGGACATCAGTGGACTTCCAAAGCTACTTGCACAATTCCTATGTAACCTGGCATAAGTGTTTATTTAAACACCATGAACCATGTTCATGAGTTCATGGTGTTTAATCATGAATTTTAGGCACTATGAACTGGAAAATCCAACCTTACCCTGAGTTCAAGATAGTTTGGAAAGTTTTAAGTCTCTCCTCACAAGAGAAAATATAAAAAAGCACAGTAAATGCAGAGCAGAACTGCTTGTGAGCTATGGGGTGTTTCTAATCACTAGAAAGATGACATCATTCTTTTTAATTTTGTTTAAAAGTGAAAAAAGAAAACCTTCTACTCAAGTCAAAATGACATGACTGAAATTTCTACCAATCCAAGACCAGTAAAGTTCCTTTTCCAAGACACATAACTGAAGAATACACAGGGCAAGTCCTGTCTGACCAACTTGGCGGCTTTCTGTGATTGAATGACATCAGTGGACAAGGGGATGGCTGTGGATGTCACCTAGGTGAACTTCTGTAAGGCCTTGGACACGGGCCCCATAAAGGCCTTGTCTAAACTGGAAAGAGATGTGTTTGGTGGACTGCTCAGTGGGTGTGAAATTGGTTGGGCAGTCACATCCAGAGGGTCACGGTCAACATCTCAGAGTTCCAGCGGACACGAGTGACAAGCAGTGTCCCTCAGGGTGTGCTAGGACCAGTGCTCTTAAATAGCTTCTCTAATGACATTGACAGAGGGATTGAGGGCACCCTCAACAGAGCTGGAGATGGCACCAAGCTGGGCAGCGTGGTGACATACCTGAAGGATGGGATGATAGCCAGAGGAACCTGGACAAGCACAAGTAGTGGGCACATGGGAATCCCACTGAGGTTCAACAAGACCAAATGCACCTGGCTCATGGCAACCCCCAGTACCAACACAGGCTGGGGGATCAGCCCTGCCCAGGAGGATTTGGGGGTGCTGGTGGATGAACTGGACATGACCTGGCCATGAGCACTCAGAGCCTAGAAAGCCAAACGTGTCCTAGGCTGCATCACAAGCACTGAGGGCAGGTGGGCAGGGGAGGGGATTCTGCCCCTCTCTTCTGCTCTGGTGAGAGCCCACCTGCAGTGCTGCACTCAGCTCTGGGGCCCCCAGCATAGGGGGGACAGGAACCTTCTGGAGAGAATCCAGAGGAGGCCACAAAGAGGCTCAGAGGGATGGAACACCTCTGCAACAGAGATGGGCTGAGAGAGTCTGGAGAAAAGCAAGCTCTGGGGAGTTTTTAAATTAAAAGAGGGTAGGTTTAGATTAGATTTAAAGAAGAAATTTTTTACAAGGAGGGTGGTGAGACACTGGCACCAAGTGCCCAGAGAGGTGGTGGATGCCCCATCCTGGACACAGTCAAGGTCAGTCACAGGGCCCTGAACAATCTGGTTCAGTTGAATGTATCCCTGCCCACAGCAGGGGGGTGGAACGAGAGGACCTTTAAAAGGTTCCTTTCAACCCAAACCAGCCCATGTTCCTATGATACAATGGAAAGTTGTGACTTTTTGGTACTTCAGGACATGTAGGGCCTTAAAGTGTCTTTATCTTCACTCGTGAACTTTGAAGGACATTGTCCAAATCACACAAAGCACCAAGCACCTTTTGAGAAAAAAGCACTAAGTTTAGAAGCTCAGACAGGAACACATTTTTTTCCCTGCTAAGGTACAGAATAGGGGCTGCATAAGGCAGGGTCTCACACAGCTCTGATATTCAAATATTCAATCACAGAATGTGAATCTCTCCAAATCCATCAGGATCTGTCTGAATGGTTAAACTGACCAACTGTTCCCATTGTCAGCTCTAACAAATAGGCAGACAGTGTACTGCTGAAATCTAAACAAAACCTGCAGTCTTTATAAGAGACCTAACAATGGCTCATTGTTTTAAAACAAGAGGTATGACCTCATATGACCCTGTCAATCTTGATTGTATAACCAAGCAGAGTAGATTTAAAAGCTGAAAATTCTGAAATAACATTAAGAATAAGTTACTGTGAAACCTTTAAAAATAGCTTCTCATTGTTTGATGAAAATCAGTGTCACAATTGAGACCAAAAACAAGAATCATTGTTAACCAACTCAGACACCATGTATAATAAAATCATAATTTCTAATTCCTTCTGAGTATCCAATTTGCTGGTTATTTATTATAACACTGCTCAAGAATTATGCTGTTCTTCACTTAGTAATAATAATACATATTTTCTCCTCATCTACAAAACAAAACTTGTTCCTGATTGGTGTAGTAATACAACACTGAAATGCAATACAGAAAGTAGCTTTAAACAACTTTTATGTGCTTCATTTTGAGTATTTAAATTCTTTCCAACTATATCAGTATTTGTTTGACAAAGGGAAATACTGAATTGTTAATATATATTTTTTAAAAATCCACTCCTACTTACCCAATTAAGACCCTCTCACACAAAAAAGTTTAACCTCATTTTTAAAAATAAATTAAACGGAATTACCTTTGCCTATAAGGACACCTATTCTGGAATCCAACTTTTCTCCTGGATCACAGTTCCTTGTCACTAGTTTAAGGACAGGAAGAAAGGGTCTAACATCACAAAGTCTCCGTGTTTCATCCTCTAATTCTTCATGCACAGCAGTCTGATTCACACATGAGAACATGTAAGAGTCAATCTCCATGAGGAGATGAAAGAGAGGGTAGGAATGTGCCTGCTTCCATAACAGCTGCAATGAAAACAAAGAAATAAATGAAAAAAGAGACAAAACAGAAAACAGGGTCATATCTTAAGGCCCTGAAGGCAACAGTCATTTCAATTTATGTTCTCAAAAAATAGAAACATCTTTGCTAACTTGTTTATTTTTTATCACTATATATCATTATATGTTTACTTTGTCTCACTTTTAGTCTCTATATTGAGTGATTTCCAGGACAGACCTCCATAGTTAGCATCAGTATTTCTTTCCTTTGGAAAACAGCTAAATATCAACAGTACGGGGTTATGGCATGTCAAGTTTCCATGTCCCACAAGCAGCAAAAAAACCAGACAGGGTTCAAAACCCTTACTGCTGTCACTTACATGTTTGTTTTTAAATTCTTTATCACTTGAAATCACTTATTGTATTAAAAGTAGGTTAGTCTGTGCTGTAATTCATTCACTGGCTAATTCCTCAGTAACTTTTCCCAATGTCCTCACATGGCCATTATCTGATCAAAGGTCAGTAAATTTTAATATCTGTGGTCACTTCCTTACATTCTCTCCTTCCTTTCACTTGGACATTCCCTCACGCTTTAAGTGATGCCTCAATTTGTACAAAACCTTTAAGAAGCAGCAGACACAGTTTTTAAAGCAATTATCTTTGGTGCCAGTCAACAGAAGCAGGAGCCCAATCTGTGACTTCTGCACTAAAAATCTGATCAGAGAAACGTTAGATCAGCAAACAATGGATTACCAACATCTTAGAAAAAGCTTTAGAGTAGCAATACAGTAAAACATACAGCTATTAGAATAATCTCTGCTGAAGCAAGAAGCCACTTTCCAAACCTTGCCATCTGCCCAAACCCAGCGCTAACCCCCCACCCACACACTTCTTTATCAATCAATCTGCTGGGCACGTGCCTTCAGTACCTCATTTCCTCATTCTCTGTCAAAATTCATGACTTGATTTGCCAGAGGGTACATCAAAATCAGAACCAGGCCTCATTCCAAACATCAGTTAACTGCCCATTTGGTGTTACCTGTTTAATCTGAGATATGGTGGCATCTCGAGGGACGTCCAGGTTGATGTAGATTCCAGTGGGCAACAGGAAGTCCACAGATATTGAGCCATCAGCACCAATCTGTGAATCCACTGCCCAGATGTCAAGGCTGTCTGTCACGGCAGGAGGCATTATGGAATCTCAATATCATAACCACATGGCCTTAGGGGAAAAAAAACCTTAAAATTCAGTATATTTAACCTTCTATAATTAGACACACATTTTAAAGTCTTTGGAAGGTTTACATAAGCCTGCTTTGTGCAGCTCAGCTTACAACTCTGAGGTCTCAAATGCCAGTACTGCAAATACATAAGCACAGTTTTACTCATTAATGTTATTTAACAAAATAAAAGTATTTGCCTGGCAAAGCATTATCGTTGAGATGTTTATATCATTAAAACTAAGTAATAAGAGAAAAATCTAATTAGAGGTTAGCTGAAACAAAGTTAGAAATTCATTTCAAGCTGTCTTTAAAACTTTACCTGTGTAAAACACAATCAAACTAAACTTCTTGGATGAGGCAATATTTCATATGAAACCTCATGATCAGTTTCACTATTTTATTTTTTTGCAAATTTCCTGTTAGTTGTTCATGAATGCGGCCAGTGACATTCAACTTGAAAATCTTTATTAACAGCAGGAAAAATTTCTTCAACTCTACTAGAAAGTGCCATTTTCCTCTACAAACACTTATCTCAATTTCACCCTTAGAGAAGGATCACTGAACTCCACCAACTGTGGGAACTGCATCCACGACAGGGCAGGAGGAAACCTTGCCCATAATCTCCCCCAGCTCACTCCTCTGCCTTCCTGACTGCCTGTCCTTTGTATTTCAGCACATTTTCATTTACTCCTAACGCTACCACCAGTTTTTCTGACCTTCCAAGTCTTCTCTTGTGATTACCACTCTCTAAAGCTGAGTTTTCCCTTCAGCCATGGCTCACTGAATGATTTACCCTTCTCCTCATCCAGGCAATGCTCTTCAGCTGTCAAAGGGATGGGGAGCATTGGAAAACACTATTATAAAGCACTTTGATAGACAAGTTACCCCTACATCTTTTGAATTTCTGTTGGACAGCACAAGATGTGGGAAATCACCCTTTGTAACAGAAGATGGCAGAATATTCAACTCCACTTGCAGCTTTCCAATATTTCAATTAGTCCTTCCCCACAATGGATAAGAGGATGCCAGCAGTACAAAAATCCACTTGCCAGTTCAAAGCTGCCTCAGGTATTTGACAACACACTCCATCCCACCTCTAAGTGCCATGTAAATACACTGAATAACAGGACCCAAATCATTCCAACACCTTCCCATCTGGTCTTTGCAAAGCTGTGAGGACCAGCACAAGCTGCCAACACATCATGTAACCACACCAATGCATGGATCACTCCATATTTTGTTTGTACTAGATAGAAATATAGCAGAGTTTTCATTAACACCAAACAAAAGACCTCTAAATTTCAGGAAGTGTAAGTACATAAGGAACCATTTTTTCTCAATAGAAGCAATAATTAGGGAGCTCCTACCACCATCATCAAAGAATAGTTTTACCACCATCATGTCCACATTTTCCTCCAAAAAAGTCCACTACACCGAGCAGATTGAATTAAAGCAAAAATAATTGGAGGTTGTGATGTGGTAAAAATAACAAATCAGATATGAAGGTTTTTTATATGAACTACTACAGTCTACAAATCCATCCATTCATCATTGGATGTGTGAAGCTTAGCATGGTATGTGAGCTCTGAGCTGTCTAAAGGAAAGAGATAAAATGTTACCCCATCATTACACCCAGCACAGACTACATTATTGGAATAACACAGCATCTGCCAAAAAACACACCCAGACAAAATGTGAAATTCCTCATTACCAATCAGTATATTTTCCACAAGTTACTATTTTAATGGGATACTATTTGTTTTCCTCCATTCAGTTACTTGTATTCATAAAATGCTGGCTGCGATTCTGTTGTAACTGAAATTAGCAGTCAGCAAAAAATAATAATAATATACTTTTTCATATTTGGATACACATATTTGCAGTTATTTTCTGTGGTCATGAGGGTAAAATAAAGAGCTATTTCCATTACAAAGCATTACTTGGACAGGTACAGCAGTAAGGAAATCTGTTTTATATAGTTATTTTGTATATAGTTCATCCCTGCTTTAATTCAGCGTATCTTTTCTATTTTCATCCTTTTTCGGATGTTTTTCACAGTTGCAGTTGTTGAAACCACTTCAATGCATTAACAAGAGTTTAAAATGTTCAAAGAAACAAGACTTAAAAATGCTGCTCCATATCCTGGAGTCCAAACACCACAACACAGTCCTTTTAAGATTTGTTTATCATTACAGATTTCCAGCACAGACACCAGAATCTTTTAAAATTCCATCTGCTTTTTCAATTAAAAAGGGAAGAGAAGCCATGTTGCCAATCTGAGCATGCTGAGGAGTTATTCTTGCTCTCAGGCACTTACTTAATATTTCCTTCCTCACGGAAGCGGGTCAGTGTGTTTTGCAGCCAGCACCCTGTTCCTGCCCCGCAAGCTGACATCACAGGGACCGAGAGAGAACCAGTTTTTATCCTGAGAAACACAAGATTGCCAACCCACAGCAGCTCTGGGGTTGAGTCACAGCCCCATCTGGGACATGTGTGGTGGCACTGGTAACTAACTAACAATATCACATCTAGGAACTGAAACAAAGGCAAAAAGCCATCTGGACTGGGGGCAACAGCACCAGAGACATTTTAAACAACTTCCAGCTAAAGGAAAAAAACCCCAACAATTCAAATAATAATAAAAAGCTATTTCAGGCTGTTAACCTCATAGCTATTCCTGCTCACTGTCACAGTAACAACAACCTCACTTACAAAAGAAGGAAGTAATTAAACCAGCACTTAACCTTGGCTCCTCAAGTGTCTAATCAATGACTTTGAATTTCACAGGAGCAAAGCCCAATATATCTCTTTTTTTTTTTTCTAAAGCACAGGTAGTACTGACAGCATTCAAACCTTACCATGTAAAGTGTAAATTTTCTCTAAGCTTTGACCTGCAAATTTCAGATTCATATATGTGTGTGTGTGCCCACACACTCACCCTCCTAATCAATTTGTATTTTAATACACCAGCAGTTCTGCCAGAACAGCTTATACTAATGGAAAGAAATGGAAAACAGATGAGCAGAACACCTGCAGAAGAATGAAATTATCACTCATCTTGGTATTTATTTATATAATGTACACAAGAAGAAGACCTGAAACAGGATTTCTCAGTTGGGTGTTGCTGTTGTGGTTTTTAAAGGACTTGCCATCTCTAGGCAGACAAAAGAATTTGCTCTGGTGCTAAACAGCCTCATTCCAGAAGCCAGGAGACCTTATAGCTTTCCCCTCACCTCCCAACAAAAGTACATATCATTTAACCAACAAGACAGCTTGGAAAGGAAAAAAAGGGAAAAAAACAAAGAAAAAAAAAAAGTGCTACCAGAAGCAGGCTACTTCTTCATTGACTTCTAAAACAGTTTAAAGACAGACACAGTCAAAAGTAAGCTGCACATTATTTTTATGTGAATTGCAGCCCATTCATGTTTTCAAAACAGACCTAATCAAAACAGAACTAAAATAATATGTGTCCTGGGTTATGCAGAGCAGGTACAAGACTAGTTTGGGAAAAAAAAATGTAGGCAACACTTCCAGCAGGTGGTCTGCCACCAGCAGAACCACTGGAACATTGCACAGATCCAGTTAACAAAACACAGGTATTCAGAACATCCCCAGGAGTCCCACACTTATTCTTTAGACTAAAGGATCAGTAGGATTTCAGAAGCTGTGCTTACACGTTAGGGCTGTGTTCTCTTCCTAAACCACCCACACATTTTCCTGAAGGCAGGCAAGACTATCCTGTGCCAAGCTCAAATCCATCGTGACTCCTTCAGGACATTGCTGAGAGCCCAGGAGCACCCAGCTGCAAAGGTTTCCCACCACTGCTGCCAGAGCTGGAGAAATCCATTGTGTCTGTGCTGGGCAGTTAACTTGAACATGTACAGGAATTAAACCCAGAGGGTGCAAATATCTGACATCAAACAGTGCAAGGGATGCCAAGGATAAGCATGGGAGGGAGTTTGTAAGGTTATCCTGAAATGAAGATCTGCCCAAGATCATGCTCACAGAGAGCCTGTCTGGAGCACTGCAAAAACTGAGACATGGAACAACAATGCAATGAACTCTCCTTTGAAAATAATTTATCATATCAGCAGAAGACTTAGACATTAAAATGTACCAAATCCACTTGAATTGACATCAACACTCAACATTTATCTGTGCCAGGTAAGTTATTCTAAAACTTTTAGAAGAATGTAGCAATTATGAAAACTCACACTGTGCCATTAAATCCTTTATTTCTGAACTCACCACAAATCCTCTACCACTCATCCTTTGAGATCTGTTTTTCTGTTGTTAAAAGAACACCAACATAAAATCCAGTGTAACCTTCAATGTTTTATCTTGAACTGTAATCCAGAAGAATACTAATAAAACACAAGTAAAAGTAGCTGCAAATAAGGTAGTAATCATAAACACACACACAATGCAGTGTCAATGGAAAATTTTGATGCCCCGTTATCTCTCATAGCATTTATTCTCCTGAGCACCTGTCTTTGGAAAAGCCTTTAGAAGAGCTATCTTAGATCTGAAATTATGTCACCCACCTCTGAAATGTGGTCAGTTCTCTCAGGAAGAAATCAGCATGCTATCATCCCAAACAAAAAGTGATGGCAAAAAGTTGGAGGGGAGGATAATTTCTATACTAAAAAGTAATTTTCCTTAAGAAGTAAGTTTCTTGTACACCATCTCTTCTAAACACAGGTGTGTTTTAAGGGCACATAAATATCTACAGCTCTTCAAGTTAAATATAAAGCTGGATTTACTCTTCACTAAGCCCATGAATATTTACATAAAGGACAAATATCAGAAGCTGATTTGTTTTAGATATGAAAAAACTAAGGGCCCTCTGCTTATCCAGACTTTTGCTTTATGTAATAAGTTTTTACAACTGTTGAGCACAACATCCAAGACAATCATCACTGTGATCAATACAGTTCTTCTCTTCTTGCTCTGTCATGTGGCAGCCAAGAGGCTAAAAAAACCCCAAAAGTCTTGCAGT